TAATAATATCTCTTAAATACTAAAAGAACAAGAAAAAGTAGCTCCTCCTCCTGTCCTCGCCGCGTCGAAATGTCGACGGCTTTCAATTCCCGATCAAATTTACAAGGGAATCCGTGGTAGCTCTTTCAATTCACCTGGCTCCGCCGCTCCTCTGGTAATTTCTCCGAGGTTAGCTCGTCTGCTACAATGAAATCGGCAATCGTCTGGGGAATCAGCAGCTCCTGCGACGGCCACATATTCGCCGTACATCCGTGGATAAGGAAGAAGAGATTCGAACCTGGATAATCTACGAAGCGAACAAAGACAGACAGAACTTGGAGCGTCAAATCTGTGAGTGGAATTACAGGATAGGACCAACTAAGTCATAACATGTATATAGTCTGTTGTTACACAATTCACAGTTTTGATTTTGGGTTTAGTTAAATGTCTGGCTTGGCTAATCATGTGGTTGGTTCTCAAAGACTGACAAGGAACTTCGATTGTATATACACTGGTTTAAGATGCTAGGCAGTTTTTCATCAACTGTTAGATTTCGATTTCTCTATGTAGCACTAATATACATTTTGGTAGTCTTAGCTGTCTGTCTTTGATCATTTCACCTGACTAGTATGATGATTTACCTTGAATATTTGTGACCTTGTTGTAAGTCCTATCCAGCAAGGATCTCATTTGATGTTTCGAAACTCCAGGCGACCCTCGAGCTATGCTCTTCCACAGGTAGATAGATTTCATTCGGTTGCGTTCATGACATTGACGACCTTGTATCCGTCTCTTATCAAATTTGACTGTCCTTTGTTCATAATGATGGTCTCTTTTTTAATGCTTCCAGGATCATTCAAAATGTATTTGACCTTGGCTTGGAAGTTCTGCAGAAAATTTAATTGTTTTTGTAGCTCTCTCTGTCTCTGTCTTTTCTTGATGAGACCACCGGACCAGACACCCTGCTGTTAATACATTTACCTGGAAGAGAGTGGAATCGGAATCATAGAATCGCTTCAGTTCTCAACGCCTTGAGTTACTACTCTTCTTGCTCATAAATCAGAAGGGTTTCAATGTACAAGGTCGATTGATGTTTGCTCGCTCCACAAACTCAGAAGCCTCTATTGATGAAATTGCAGACGATTTTGGAAGACTCAAATGATGATGATTGGTGGTGAGGCTACCTCGCTAGTATATCAATTGTTTTCTCAAAAGCTTTAAAACGTTGAAAATAAGCATAATTCCACAGGTTTATATTTGTATTTGCACTTCTCTGAGAATAGTGGAGGTTTCAGTTGTTAATGAGTGTATTTGCTGCCTTTAATCACAAGTTTTTTCTTAACTTTTCTAAGTAAGCATTCACAGAGTTTGTAATATATCTCTTTAATTACATTACCTTAAGAACAAGATGCATTTTCAGAGCCATAAAGTTGAATCATTATATGCACACAAAAGACTTTCAACTTTGGTCACAATTACTCTACTACACGCCTTTGCTTAAGCTTGGAGTACAGATATCTGAACATTTGGGGAAGCTTTTCCTTCAAGTCTCCGAAGTTCAGTGGCAATGTCGTAAAGAGCGGTAACGCTATCTTCTGTTTGCCCATATATTTTCACTTGTTGGAGATGTAGCATTCTCATCAAAAACCACCGTACTTGCTCACCAAATCGGGCTGCATCCTCAGTAACTTCTCCTCTCTTTTTCCCAACAACTCCTTCGTATATCTCTAGGTGAGTAACAGGAGATTTTACTAGGCAAGAGATTGCCTGCTCCATGTTCCTCCTGCAGGGACACACATCACCACACACATCTGTGGCTAGGTGGAAAAGCCCCTGAAACATAAAGACATACAGTAACGCATATGTTTTGCTTTTAACCATAAAATCGATTCACTAAGCAGCTTGGTTTCTTACCTCCAAGACGAGGGTTTCCAAATGTGGACATTTACTAAGCAGCTCTGGAATCGCATCCCACCCTAGTTCTTTGTCACTCTGAATAGTCAGGTGAGTCAAGTATACGAATTCAGGAATTGGAGGATCGAAGTAGTGGTGAAGGACCTGAAACACAACACAAGCAAATCAATTAGTGTTGTCTTGTCTTCCAAATCTCAAACGTGTTATCAGACAAGATATTCTCCTACCTGAATTGTGTTCGCATACAAATAGAGTTTCCGAACACTTGTTATTCCTGTGATAAAGGCTGTGGCATTATCACCAACAATCACTTCTTGTCCCTCATCTTCTTCCTCTTTTTCATCTATCATTTCAAGTCTGATCTTGGCTTCAATAAGGGAAGAAAATTTCAGTAGTGGATATTGCCCAGCAATATGATCAGTGTACTCAAGATACAAGACATTCGGAGTGTCAAACAATACACTTTGAGGGCATCTATCATACTCATCCATTTCAACATAATCAGTCCAAACAATTTTCAATCTTCTGAGACTTGCGCTAACCACAAAACAGGCTTCCCAATTATGCCACTTCATATCTATCATCACGAGCTCCTCTAGTATTGGACATCTTGATAAGAGTCTAACGAACACTTTAACATCAGCAACTAAAACGTCGTCAAGCCACAAGGTCTTCAAACAAGGAAGATGAGCAGCAGCTACATCATCTCCATTTATCCAAATCAAACTACGGTTGGTTGCTAACTTCAAAGTTACAAGAGTGGCTTGCGAAAACACTCTTGAACTCAGCTGGAAATTTCCTTTTATATCATATATGCTAAGCTTTAGCTTCTCTACTCCATTGTCCAATGGATAATCAACTAAATGAGTAACAAATCCTCCATCGATCTCGTCATTCAGTGTCAGCGAGAAACTATCCAACTTACGGTTACCTCTCTGCCTCAACACTTGATCAACAAATCTCACAAAATGCTCTTCCTCTTGATCATCACTAAAAGAAAACTTAAGACTTGAAAGATTCTTCATCTCACTTCTCCACCATCCTTTCATAAAGAGAAGAGAAACAGTAACCGCGGTCTTGGTTGGTAACCAAGACAATATGTGAGGTGCAAGACACTTGGGCAAATCACAAAGCTCCGTTTTCTTCTTCTTATTATTCGATGTCATCTCAACAAACCTGAAATTAAACAAACACAAAATTAAAATCTGTATAAGAGAAAATAGAAATCTGAGAACTAAAAGCAAAACCCATAAATCATACAAAAAAGTAAAAGGACGTTGAGGAAAAATCGAGCTACTTTTCATCAGGAACAAGTAGAAACCAAAAAGAAATATGAGAACTAAAGCAAAACCCATAAATCACACATAGAGAAATCAAGCAGAATCCATAAATCATACTAAAAATATAAGGACGTTAAGGGACAATTCGAGCTACTAAGATACTTCTCATTAGGAACACAACTCATGGAACTAATTTTCAATTTGCTTCCATTTTCAAATGACTTTTTCTATAGATTAAGAAATTAAAAGCATGAAATCCTCCAAAACAACAAAGAAACAGAACGCACCTGTGTGAATCGTGGTTGAGCAGATTTAAACCCTAAGCCTCCTTGTGTTTATTAAATCGAAAAAGAGATGGAGAAATGAGAGGACTGAGACTTTTTATTTTATTTTTTTTGGGACAAAACACTTTCGAAGAAAATATCACTAAAATCCTCAAGTTAATGTTGATTTAAATCCTCAATTCTCCACAAAACAAAGTAAATATCAAATTTATATTGACCTTCCAAATAAATATCCAAATTTTGTTGACCTGATTTAGGCATACTATTAAGTAGATCATATATCCTATTAACGGAGTTAATTTTTTTAACAGAGAACCGTTAATTCAAAACGTTATCGTTTCTAAAAACAGAACGACATCGTTTGGTAATAGTGTCTTAACTAAATCCCCAAATTCAATCTAAAATTCTTAAATCAAGCAAAAATTTTAACCCTAAATTTTCATATGATTTGAAATTTGGGATTTAGTTGAACCGTTATAACAAAACCACGATGTTTTATTGTTACATTTTTAATTTATTTATTGTATCATATGGGCTAATTTGTTCTTTTAGAATCCATAATTGATCTAATTGGTGCATAAATAAAAAGGATTAAAGGGAGATAATCAGTTAACAAATTTGTAAAATTCTTTAAAGTAGGTTATATAAATAGAGAGCAAAACAATATACTTTCAATTGTAATCTTGTAGCTAGGGGTGTCAAAATGGGTCAAAATTCATGGGTCAACTCAACTCAACTCAACCCATGAACCCTAAACCCTAATGAGTTGAAAATTTTGACTCAAATGAGTTGATGGGTCAAATGAGTTGATGAGTCAATTGGTTTGATGAGTAAAATGAGTTGGGTTGTAATGGTTAATGGTTTCAATGGTTTACACAATTAACCCATCGAGTTTTGTAAAATTGAATTAAACCAACTAAAATCTCTAAACCAATGTCAATTTAAGTTTAACCAACACATCTAAACCAATTTAATAAAATAAATATTTTTCCAAATTTCTTAAATATACAAGCAATGAAATTGAGAAAAAGTAAACTCGTAATTTTTTCGCCAAAAACGCAAACCCGTAATTTTCCCGCCAAAAACATAAACCCAAGATTTTCCCGCCAAAAACGTAAACTCGTAATTTTCCCGCCAAAAAACGTAAACCCGTGATTTTCCCGCCAAAAACGTAAACTCGTAATTTTTCCGCCAAAAAACGTAAAGCCGTAATTTTCATGCCAAAAACGTAAATCCGTGATTTTTCCTCCAAAAACGTAAACCTGTGATTTTCCCGCCAAAAACGTAAACCCGTGATTTTCCCGCCAAAAACGTAAACCCAAAATTTTCCCGCCAGAAACGTAAACCCGAGATTTTCCCTCCAAAAACGTAAACCTATAATTTTCCCGCCAAAAACGTAAACCCGTGATTTTGCCGCCAAAAACGTAAACCCGTAAAAAAATGGAATCCGTAAATATCCTAAGTTTGATGATAATGAATTAATAATAATTATTATTTATTATTGTTTTATAATAATAATTAATTAAATTATTACTAAAATGGGTTAAACCATTTAACAATTCAACCCATCAAATTAAATGATTTATGGGTTGACCCAACTTATTTTGTTAAATAGGTTGGGTCAACCCATAACTCATTTAACCCTAAACTCATTTGATTATGAGTTGAGTTGAGTTGGATTACCCATTTTGACACCCCTACTTGTAGCTATACTAATAAATCATATTAAATAAAATGAAAAGTTCAAAAATAATAATTAATTGTTAATAATATTTTTGTGTACTATTTTAAATTTTAATATAAAGATGTTACAATTTTATTTTATTTTTTTGATAATAGAGTTTTTTCTTAAGATAATAGTTAACAGAAATAATTAAAGAGATATTATTGAAGAGTGAAAGTTATCATTCCGATCAGTATTAATTGAAGAATAAGAATTTCAAAATAAATGGTTATTCCAAAATATACTTCAATATATAGATATAAGATGTTACACAAATAAATAAATAATGTACTTCAACTTGCAGGACCTTTTTATCTTTTGTTATCCTGTTATATGATTATTTACTAATAAAAAAACTGACAATTCTTTATTTTTTTCGTTTTTTTTTTTCTTTAGCGGCTATTTTTTTCATTTACATGGTTACGTTCTAATATTACCCTCGTTTCAATCCGTGTTTGGAAAGCGTTTTAACAAAGTTATTTTTTTTTACAAAATTTATGGTGGCTAGAATAGAAAGACATAAAAAGAACGAATACTCTGTGCTTTATAAAAACCATGTCTTCGAAAGTTGGAGAAGATACTTATGAAGAATATAAATATAACTGAACTATATACGTTTGTATTCTCATGGATAACAACTTAAACAAGTATACTTTACAATATTGTCGGGAACATTGTTCCTAATCAACAAGCTAGTATATAATAAGTAAAAACGGATGTGGAGATTTAAAAAATCCTCCAAAACCCATAAAAATTAAAATAGTAACACAATCTCATATAGTATATGTATAACTATATGGTCCTATAAACAAGTTTCAAACTAAAGCAATAAGCAATATTATAGTCATGAAGAGGCGTATGCAGCAACGAGCTCGATGATTATATTGTGGCTAAGCTGCAGATGGGGCTTTGACATACTGAAGCGCACCGGCTTCAGACAAAGCTTCGATAAACTGCTTAAGTGTCTGTTGCTTCTTGTGGCTGTCCCCAATGACAACATTCTTGTAATCAAGAGACTCGTCATTGTAAATGTCCCACCATTTCTTGACCAGCATCTTAATGTCTTCTCTGTCCATGTTCTCTTCTTCTCCAGTGAATCTGATATAATACAACAAACAACTTTTAGAAAATTCAAATCCACAACTTTTCTATAAACAAATTAATATTAAAATAGCTCATATAGTATAATTATTACTCCTAAAGTAAAGCTCATGAGAGGTATGTTTGTGAATTTTAACTATTTTCGGTAGATAAAACTTTGTTAGAACATATTTCTAATGTGAAATTTTTAGATATCCCAATAAAATTTGCAACATTTAGTTCTACGACTTGGTGGTACTTTCAACTTATTGTTAGTTATATGCAAAGATATTATTTTCTGATACATCAAATTGAATATATTAAAATTTTGGCCTACAGAAATAAATAAACTTGATTGGACGTCAATATATAAACTTGATTGAAAATTATTTGAACTAGTAATAATCTTACCTCCAAGGTTTAGCACCAGCAGCACAGTAGTGAACAACTTTGACTTGGTCAAGCTCTATATTCTCTGGATGCCTCCAAAGCATTGCCAAGACCAAGTTATACACTGGTGGTATTGGCTTGTATATGTCCTTGAAGTACATATTCAAAAAATCCTATAACATATTCAAATGATTATAATTTTTAAGTTGTAATATCCATAATTAATAACTTTTTGTGGGTTTCTATAACTTAATAATTTTATCTATTTACCTGTTCAGCAAAAAGAGTGGGAGGCACAATTTTGACCTTCTCCAAGAGGTTATGATAAGTGGAGAGGTTAGGCTCGTAAACGAACATACCGGCGTTGAAGTACAAAGGCGGCTTAGGACCAAGCTTGGCCTCTGGCCATGTCACCTTGTCCGGACACTGTTGGCAATAACCGATCTTGTACTGTGGCGAGTGACTCCATGTCTTCTCGCAAAAACAGTCCATAACTGCATAGAATTGGCCGTTTGGAAGATCATACAAGTGATCTATGTTGTCGAACACTTGTATGTCACCGTCCAAGTATATCATCTTGTTGTACTCCACGAACTGCATCCATATATAATTTTATTATATATAAGAAATTAGAGATATAAAAATAATCACTATAAGTTTTTTTTTTTATAAATATCAACTTCTTTTGGAACAAACAATGAAGTACATAATAATATTTTGGTCATATATAGAATTTACTTTGCTAGATTTTATATTCTTATAAATAAAAAACTTAACAAACAGTACATATTTATATTTGTACCTCCCAGATACGAAGCTTAGAGTAGTTGATGACATAGTAAGCCATAGCAAACTCGGTTTGATTCTCCGGTGGATAAACCGGCTCTATCTCCTTAACAACACAGCCTTGATCCACCAACTGTTTCCGGTGATCCTCCGGTACATCCGGCAAAACCGCCACCACGAGTGGGTACTTGCTCTTAGCTTTCCTTAGCCCCTTAGCAAGACCCACCACCCCTTTCACGTAGTCTCCAGTTCCAGCAAGGAAAGTCACGTACGCCCTCTTTTCTCCGCCGGTTGCTGAGTGGACCGGTACGGTGAGTTTGGTATTGATCTCAGGTGCCATCTTCTTTGTCTTTTAGAAAATACTTCTGTGTTTGTGTTTGTTTTTGTTTTGTTTAGTTTGTGTGTAGTGTGCTGAGTATGTGGGTGATGCTTAATGGTGCTTTATATAAGATTTTGTCTTAATTAATTAAAAGATTAATCGCTAATTACTTTGGATAATTAAATACGACCGACTACTAAACGTTTCCAGAGAAAGATTTTGATCCAACGGCTATTCAACAATATGGTGGAATCTAACGGTTTAGGATACGCGCGCGAAGCTTCGTTTTGAATTAACTATTTACAGTGGGTCCCAGTATAATCCAGGTGCTGCCACGGCGTTACATAACGACACGTGTCAGTATCTAGACTGTTCGACTCATCAAGGTTTTTAAATCCAGCTCGTGGTGGTTGATCGGTCATTTTTATGTGTTTATCAATGGGTTCCACTTCAGATATACGACGTCGTATGGGGTATTTAATACACTATATTAGTGTGGGATTTTCTGATTGGTTATTATGTGGACACGTGTCTACGTGGAACGTAGTAGGCGGTGATGATACACGTGGACAAGGAAAAGTCTTGTTAGGCCCATTTCCGTTTGGTCTCTTTTCCATGTTTAAATTTCTTTCCTATGGTAGTTTGTCTGACCGAAGACCGACCGACTATTTACGGCATATGTGGACGTTAAAATCAAATATATTTTTTAATTGCATGACTCAAAAACTCATAAGGTTATGTTTCGTTATTTTTAATTTAATTTTATTTTAGTTTGTTTCTGTCAAGTAGGTATTACTTATCTGCATTCAACAAAAAAAAAAATTTTGTGTTAGGTTCCATATAAAAAAAAATGTGTGTAGTTCCTCTCAATTTGTATTTTTTATAGCTATTAAATTAACTTTTAATCTAACATTTTATCAATTATACTTTTAAATTTTTCGGAAACCAATCAAGTCTATGAAATTACTCACATCTCGAGTTTTATTTTTTTTTCTTCTAGTTTTCTTCTTTTTTTGGTAATTGATAGGTTTCTTAAAGCCAAATAAATGGATTATTTATTAAATAAATGAAAAAATCACCGTCAACATTTTTATAAATTTTGCCGCAATAGTATACAGTAACCGGAGATGTACCATGCATCCAGCAAGTGGCGTTCACTACCTTTAATTCATCAAGTAACTTACAAAGAAAAAACAAGAATTGGAAAAGTGTCGTTGTGATGTAAATTTCTCAATGGGCCGACCTTGTTTACTATACGGATGACAAAATCAGAAAAATAGGATAATGTTAGATTATGGCTTTATGGAGTAGAAGTTAGTGTAAGGTCACTTCAATTCCTTCGGTTAGTTTTTGTACAAACTAGTCTATCCACGACTCTGAGTCTTTGACTAATTCTTGAGTGTAGAATATTCTATGGAATCTTTTTTTTCCAACTCGTTGTGGGATCTAAAAAACGAAATAGGCGAGTAATGTCAAATGTGTATGACTCTTGTAATATGTTTTTTTTGGTAATAATAATCATAATATTCTATTGAAATAAAATAATAACAAAAATAATAATAACTGCTATATAAAAGTTTAAAGCTTTTTCAATAAATAAATAAATAAAAGTTTAAAGCATAATTGTGTTTTACTCAAAACATTCAATTAAATTTAGTAGAAGGTTTTTTATATATAGTAGTAAATTTTTATTTTTAGTATTTTTTCTTGTTATTTTATATTATATTATTATCAAGGCATGTATATTCAAAAAAAAAAATTGTTTCATTAAGACAACATATTAGATCAACTTAACTAACTAAATTGTAAAGCCACATATGGATTTGGTCACGACATCGAATAACTATGTGCGTGGTTCTAGCTAGCTAGGATCAATCTATTTTTCAGGCCATTAAGGTAGTTTATAATTTGTTTCTTTTCCAAAATTCCCTTTATCTTTTGAATAATTGTTAGCTTATTGATCCTTGAATTTGCTGTATTTGTAAATTTTCAATGTTTTATCATCCCATTTTTTTAGTCTTGGTTTGGTTAACTTTTTGGTCGTTTTCAGATTGTTTTTATCTCTTGATTCAAGTATGTGTTAATGTTTTAACTTAGATGACCTAACTGCTCGCGAAATCCCAATTAAACACTAATGGGCCGTAACGTGACGCTGACACTCAAGATGACGTTGATATTAGGCCCATTTGAGTGAAAAGACCTTATCGGCGATAAGCTATACTCATCGTGACGCTGACATGCAACGTACGTAATACTAGGCTCATTTTCACGTGAAGAGTGACCCGCATTACATCGACTAGCGAAAACTAAGTCTTGTTTTTGTTTTTGTAATCAGCCAAAAAAAAAGTCTTGTTTTTGTTATAAAGT